GATGCAGCGCACAGCATCACATAAGGTCTGTCAGTACTGGGATAATTATGATGCTATGATACATGATGCCTCAGTATTGGCATCATTGGAAGGGTTATCAGCTTTGCCTGTGGTAGATTAGGGTGTTCTTAGTGTTTTGCAGCAATGTTCCTGGTCATTGTGTGACAGGGTTGTTTGTGTAGTTTTAAGAATAAGCTAGACAAACACTTGGGTAGTTTGGATAGGGATGATCCTGCCTTGAGTAGGGGGCTGGACTATATAACCTCCCAAGGCCCTTTCAGACCTTCTTTTCTATGATTCAGCAAGTCAACTTAATGAAAGAAGTTAATGAAGTCTCTCCATCATTCTTCCAGTAATAGAGGCCCACCTATCCTCCTGTGTGCTCTGAAAGCACAGTGTTGGAGACCTCCATAGTTCATAGTTGCTGTATGCAGGATACGACAATACGAGTTTTACTACATGCGATGCATTGGATTCCAGTTTTGCTATAGGGCATTTCAATGTAAAGTTCTAACATAGGGTCAGACACCATTGGACTTGCTAATGATGAGCAATTTGGGGGTACATATAGAGAGTCTGATGACGAGGGTAGGCTACTGATTGTATTTGTGCTTCCACAGGCAGTCCTAACATTGGTCACAAGCATCAGGGACACATCCTACAACCAGCAAAGGAATTTCCTGTTTATGAAGGATAAGGGATCCCAGCTAGATATGCTTTATCATTATTCATCAGAATGGTACTCCCTGATATTTCATGTGAACAGAAGGGTGTAACCATCTTGTTGGGAACCTGGAAGGACACAGCCTTACCTTGCTGTCAGAGCCTGGCATCAAAAACATTCTATATAAAAAGTTATATGCCATATTGATTGTGGAGATGCTGAAAGTATGCTCTGATATTAATGTTGTTTTGCAATCAATTTCAAGCATATTGGCACTTAAACAGCATTGGTGCCCTGTTAAAAGTATGGTGTAATGGAATTTGCATATTTCTACATTGTACTTTTCCCATAAATATGCACCAATAAAAATCCATTTGAGATTTTTTGTTGATATAAAATGCCTTACTAAGATTTATACTGGTGAAAAAAATCATAGTTCTAAGTTTTGTACCAGTAAATAAATGCCTTCCTGAGATTAGGTGTTTAAAAAAAAAAAGCTTGTAGTGATGGACAAAATTGATTACCTGATCAAAACTTGCTATTTCATTCTTGAGGAATGTGATTGCTGTTTTGGTGGCTTGAGAGATGGAAAAGACTGGAGAAGGAACTGGGAAAGGAAGAGGGCAGGTGTGCCTGACAGGCCACCTCTTGGACTCATTGAATGCAGTTATTTTGAGTGTGCAGACAAGGTTTATAACTCAAGAGTGTGGAGTTGATAGGGATATAGTTTATATCCACCCAAGATGGGTCATTCCAGTCTGTAGCCAGAAAAGGTTGCCTACCCATAGACTAGATGACTTTTTCAAGTCCCTTCCAGCCCTATTTTCTAGATAATGTCTAGCTGTGGTGCAAGAAAAAACACCAGGTATATATCAATGCAATACAAATGACTTCTAATAAAGACAAACATCATGTTTACCGTTCTCCACTGCAGTGCTGGTAACATGAGCACTGGCCAGGAGGAAAGGCTGGAATGGCTAGGAATGCTGTGGGGAGGGGGAGTTGGTATGTATCAAGGTCTGTTACTTTTGCGTCTCATTTGGGTTCCTGCATACTGAAGAGCTTTGGGCTGTTTGGTAGGGGTTGGTCTGGGTGGCCTATGGAGGTTCCTTCCAGCCCTACTTCTTAATGCCTGACATTCTGTTGTCCTTCAATTGTGTCAGAGATGAAGTGCAAGGTAACAATGAACAGAATTTTGGCATGGGATGACAAGTTCTCATAAGATGGAGAGGTGGCTGAAGTATTCCTGGAGAATTATTCCTTTTTTTCCCCTCTTTTGTCCTATAAAGCAACATTGTATCTCTTTTTAAAAATATGGCACTGTACTGAGTCCTGCTATGAGCATGTTTAGCACTTGTACTTCCCTGTACCTTCCTCTCACCTGGGTAGAAAGGAGCGCAGGACCTCTAGCTTGGCCCCCAATAGCAGCAGGAAGAGAAGGCACGGGACAGGGCTAGAACAAAACACATGGTATGATGGCTCCTGCAAGCCGACAAGTACAGTGGCATTTAGATAGGGAGGTGACATTCTGATCCTGAGCAGCAGATGGCTCGCAGGCAACTACACAAAACAATCAGAACAGGGTGGGAAGCACCTGCGGGATGGTGTGCAACCAGACAGATATCATGGTGTGCAACCAGACAGATATACACCTTGATTAAGATTAAAACGTTAAAATGACAGTTATTACATGGCTCGGTAGAGTTGAGAGACAATAAAGAACCCCATGCATTGTAGTTGCATAGGCACATGGCTGGTATATATTGACACAATCTAAGGCATGCAGTTAGTCGTGCACCCTCAATTAGCCTGGGGTAAGGTTGTTAGAAAACTTAAATGCTGATGCTTTGTAAAGGAGAAACCCAGGACCGCATGCAAGGTAACCACACTGGTACAAAGTTTGTAAGGATTGCCAAGTCACTGGCTTCAAGCAACGTGGCGTACAATTTCCAGGGTGGGGAATATTCAAAGGCCTTAGCAGTCTTTGCAAGGTATATCATGCAGGGGTGTTTCGTGTCCCCCCACCCCCCTTCCAGCAGGTGGTCTTGGTCTGTTCTCTTGGTCTTGGCAATGGACATAATGTTTGATGTAGACATCCCTTGACCATCAGATGGTGTCAGATATCATGAGGTGCCTCATCAACTTTCAGTAGCTGGGGGATACTCTGCAAGCTCTCAGGATGCTCGTGTGGCTTGGGTTCCATGCTCCAAGTGCCCCAGTGATCACTGATCAATGCCTGCCATGTCATTTCATACCCCTTCTCTCTCAGGGTATTAGCCAGTGTCCTGTACCTGGACAGCTTTCATTGCAGGGCTTCACTGAGAGCTTGCCGTTGAAGTGGATGGTCATATCAATAATCAGGATCTTTTTATTGTCCTCTTCTGTTAAGACAGTGCCAGGTTACTGCAGCCTGGGATGGTGTGGTTCACAGCTATCCTCCCAAATGATGCTGAGATGGCCTTCACCGGCCAGTCCTGCATGGTGTTGTGGTGGAGTTGCCATGCTCGTGTGGGACTTGCTCTGGTAGCTGCACCTCATCACAATGGCTGTAGCAGATGGTGCCATTGAGCAGGAGGCAGTTGAGATGGGCCTAAATGAAGTACCAGTCTGTGGCATGAAATGGCTGCTGGCACCCCGCCCCAAGGTGACCTCAAACACTTTGCCTGGGTCAGGTCTTGCCTTCAGGTCACCCAGGTACTTCATCCAGAAGGCGTCCTTCAGGCACCTCAGCAGGCGCTGCTAGGCTGTGGGGAGGACGGGCACAGTGCCACTGCTTGTGTAACCACCACATGGTCTCCAGGATGACAACCCGCCACGGAAAGGCACTGTGCCCAGAGGACGCGGATCCCCTTTGTGGCGGGGTCGCAGCGGGTAAAGCGCCCCGTACACAACGCCGATGTCAACAGAGTGAAAATCAACTCGGGGAGGCTGGGCGCCGCCTCACGGCAGCGGAGAAGCGAGCGAGGCGCCTCCTTGGCCTGGCAGCGGCCCCTGCTCCGGGGGCTCTTGAGGCGGCCGCAGCGCGCGGCGCTTCTCCCCGCGAGGGGCGGGCGGCCCTGCAGCGCCACGGAGTCTCCCG